TTTTTATTATTGGCAACAATTCTCGTTCTCTGCCCATTGAATTTAATACTTCGACATTTGTTGTGTGATTCGTCCAGGGAATTTTAAGTAGTCTTCTAAATACCCACATGGGTTTAACAATAAAGAAAACAAAATCCATGGTTATCAGTAAGAGGGGCAAAGTCATTACAAGGATTCAGATAAAAAATGAAGATATTGAGCAAGTGAACAAAATGAAATACTTCTCCAGGAGTCTGGATTACCGAAGATCTAAATCCAAAATCAGAAATTCGCTCAAGAATAGAGCCATAGATAAATAATATAATAGTAGAAATAGATAGGCAACTCAATGTATAAATTTGGTTCATTAGAACCCCTTGCGGCTGAGGTCAATACTAATCATCTTTTGGCGGCAAATTCGAATGAACACCCCTTACATACATACCCTTTAGCGCCTCTTGTGGGCTATTTCGTTACTAATTAAAATTTATTGGAAAATAAGGATGTAAGATGCACAATTTTTTCTAGATATACGTATATTTGTTTGTTGTTTAAGATAAAACAGTTATAAAATAATTACATAATATTTATTACAGGCAAAATCTATAGAATAAGTGCCGAGAATTTGACATAAACGTCATGTCAAATTTGTGTCTGCGGTATTGCCATGTCCTTATTATGTGTATGTTTTATGCCTCAAATATGCTTTGAAACAGTACATTTTTATTATATTATTTTATGAAATCGGGTATTTTTTAAAATTTTTTGAATTTATATGAAACACGAACGAATGAATATTTGTTTCTTTTGATATTAGTTGCAGTTAGTTATTAGAAAAAAAATTATAATTGGCCTTTGGTAGATTAGTAAATAAACTTGGCAATACTGTCAAAATTTTGAAAACAGTAGTTGCCAGATTGCAACAGATGTTTAGCAGATTTCAATTTTATGATCATTATGACTATTTTCTTATAATTTTGGGGTGAAATGGTACCTGAATATCGTTTTGTTAATGTATTAGCTAGTTACTGGAACTTGTTCAGATCGATATTTTTTCAAATTTACGTTGCAGAGATTAAATTATCATTATTGACAATTTAATCCTTAAAATGTGAATAACAAAGTAAAAATATATCGGTAAAGATGTTTAATTAAATTTAATAACTTAAGAATTTAAAAGCTTAAAAAATTAAAGTTAATTTAAATTATAATAAATTAAATTTAAATTAATTAAACTTCTTTCAAAAACTTTAAAAAATGTTGAACGTTAATTAATATAATATCGCATGCTCTTTCAATGATTTATTTGTGATATGGCAACACTGCCAAATACAGATCTGTCACTAATCTTCTGTCAGTTCCTCGGCACTTGTTCTATAGGTCTGCCTTATTACACATATTTGCAGAAGTTAAATACTATTATTTTTTGCTTCCTGACAACTTACTATCATTCTTTTTGTAATTTTTCCATGATTTGTACACAACGAACAATACAATAATTCACCATCAAAGAATATAGACGACTAAGTGTCTATATTCTTTGTCACCATGTTTAGTTTTGTTACTAGCACAACACAAAAATTCTTTGCTACAATAGGTAACTCAAAATAAACTTTAAAAATTAAGTAACCAAATTTAAATTAAAATTACTAAGAATAAATGCAAACGAAAGTTAAAGATAATAAAATAAAATTGAAAACTTGTAAACAAACGGAAGATCTGTCATTAATTTGGATTGACAGAATTGACAGTGCTTCGTTTGATTATTTTATTTGGTGTATGATTGGTTAAAGTCTTCGTGAGAGAAATAGGCTGTCATTTCTCTTTATTAACTCGCTGGGGTCAAAGTGATGGGGGAATGAACCAAGTCATTCATATAAGATTCCAGGCCATGGAATAGAGCAATCAAGAGCAGCCTTTTTGAAGATGAGAAAATTTCTGAGTAACAAGACTCAATCTACAAATCCGATATCGGATGGTAAAATCTTATATCCACTCTATGCTTATTTATGGTGTCGAAGCCTGGACTGTTAATGGTAATGTTAATGGCTTTTTAGGAGAATTTTGAAGATATCATGGACCGATCATATTACGAACGAAATGGTGTTGCACAGAATTGAAAGAGACAGAGAACTTTTGACCGCTATTAAAAGGTGAAAGACAGCATATTTGAGGCACATACTTAGAAATGATAAGTGCGAGTTGTTGCAGCTGATTATGAAGGGTAAAATCGAAGGAAAATGGGGTCCTGGTCGACGACAAATATTCTGGCTGAAAAACATTCGCGACTGGACCGGGTTAAACACACAGATGTTCTTAAGAAAAGCAGAAGATAGAGACGAATTTGCAATGGTTATAGCCTACCTTTATTAGTGGAAACGGCACTAGAAGAAGAAGAAGAAAGATTTTCGCTATATATTTACAAACAATTTTTTTACATAGTTAATTTTTGGCTTTAAAACCATACATTCATAAGGAAAGAACCAACAATTTGGATCAAAAAAAAGTTTGATCAATGAAGAAAATAATATAACTGCAGGTCATCGAGAACGCGGAGTTCAGTTGATAGTTCGTTATTATGTTAGTAGAAATCATTGTTGTAGGTTAGTTATATCGCAACTCGAAAAATGTAAATATGTAGCTATAAAGACTAAACCTGCCCCCGAAATAATGCTTTTTCTCAAGCAATATCACTTTGCCGTCCTGTCTCCAGCGTTATCACAGACCCTGGTAGATTTGAGAATAGACAGAAAGATTATTATAATGGTAAAATTGATCATACAAAGTAACTACAGAGAATCAAGTAAAAATAAATAATTAAATACCGAGTATTATATATTCGCTGATCATTATATTGTCCAAAAGATCGTTGATTGTTACCAACTAATCGCTTCCCAAAAAATAACAGTTACATTAATCTGGCTACCATCCCATATTGGTATTACAGGCAACGAACTTGCAGACAGCCATGCAAAACTTGTCTCAACATGATCTGATGTGGTTAATACACATATTAGTAAAGATTTAAAGTCTCATATTAGGAAACGAGCAAGAACTCGATGGCAACAACACTGAGACACCAATAACTCAGCATTACATCAAATCCAACAGTTAGTCGATAGTCCCCTTGATTTGATCTCTGTCGGTATGTCCAGACGAGACGCTATTGTAACACGAAGACTTCGAATAGGACATACAAGATTTGCACATAGATACCTGATGTCATTCAGCAACCGACCCACTCGTGAGACCTGTCAATCACATCTAACAGTTAACCATATTCTCACCGAATGTCATCATTTTTCAGCAAAAAGGCTATTTTATTGGCTTAAAAGTGATCTAAAAGACATACTGAATAACAAATCAAATAACCTCAAGTCTAAAATTCCTCAGAGACGTTCAGTTATATTATAAAATATAAGTTTGATTGTATTATAACAGTATGTACTCTATAACATATTTTTGTAATTTATTGTAACAGTTTTACATTTGTAATCGTTTTCGTGTAAGTGGCTTTTGTTGCCGAGCACGTTAATTTTCAGTAGTAATATCCCTAGGACATTGATAACAGACGAGATAATTTCATGACAATCGAAAGCTCGTTCCTTAGTTAATTAAAGTCGAAAAATTATCAATAAAACAAATACCGCGTATTAAAAAAAAATATAATCAATGAAGGAGTAAGAAAATCTATAAACAGAATAGCGGTAACAGACAATAATAATATAACAATCATGTCGTGGAATATCATTAAGCATATTACTACTTTATTCCGTTATAAATAATTATAATAATAATTGGTGGTTTAAATGTTTATTAATTTATTATTTAAAAGCAAAAAGTGGCATTATTGTTCTTGAGTAAATCTCGGTCCCCGTTTCGTTCGTGTGTATATCTTATAATTTGGTAAATAAGATGCCATTTTCCTATTTATATATTTAAATAAGCACCATACAACAAAAAAATGATATAACACAGGTTCCTAATAAATTGCTTGAAATTGCTGTATGACCTACTGTCCAAGCCATAATAAAACTGTATCAAAATCAAACAGGATTACTGTCTGAGATTACGTAAATTAAAAATATTTATTAAATTATACCTAGCCTGAATTCAACGAGGCAAAAAATTTTATCTACAACTAAATATAAATAATTTTATCGCAAAAATAATTAGAGAAGCTTAATATTTTATATTATACAAATTAATACAAAATATACAGATTAAATGAGGTCAAAAATATTTAGCGACAATTTAAAATTGTTTATAAATATTGTAAAATGTTTTGAATACAATTTGCTATAAAAATAATTTTACACTTTTACTGTATTACTTATTTTGATATAGGTAATTATAATTTATTTATTTAAAAGGACATGGATTGAAAATTAATCCTAGCCTTGTCTGGGTCACCAAAATAAGAAAAATGTCACAAGGTTGACCACATTGTAAAACAAATCGCTATGTATTGAATTTAATTGCAATAAAAAAAGTTAATGCAGAAATTTATAAATCAAAGAATCAAAGTTAATAGGAATCATTTCGCTAATTAGGGGAATACGCCTATAGAGTTTTTCAAGTATATCGATTATGAGATGACAAGGTAATAATTACATGCTGTATTATGTTTATGTATGCAATAACGCATTATTTTGTGATTCTAATTTATGGTTTGGAAAAAATTCAATTTATGACTTACCTAAAGCATGAAAATTGATTTGTTATGAAATGTTGACAGTAAGTAGTTAAATTGAACTGTTGTTATGGCAACTGACAATGCGCTACCACGCCAATGACTGTTGCATACATTGAATCAAGACCAAAATTTTTGAAGTTTTTTACTATTTTTCTTTAAATTTTTTTATTTGTTAATAGTTATTGTTATACTATGAAAATTAGTTCACCAAATGTATATCGCTGTTAAACTTATCATCAAAGAAAATAATAACGATTGGTTAACAGAACTGCATAATCCATCACAGAAAAGTAAAAGAAGACGTTTTGACATTATGTATATTGTTGTGACAGTCGGCGTCCGCTTTCTTCGAACTTCAAATTCAAAGCTTTTTCAATTTTCAAATCTATTTAACTAAAATACAACAATAAAACCAAAGAGTAAAGAAGTTTTTTTATATTATGTTTATGTATATGTTCATTTTTTGATTATTGTTTTGCTTTTCTTGGTAAATACTTATTTAAGTAAAGTAAAAAATGGAAGATACACATACTAATTATGAAAACATACAGAAAACCATACAAAAGGTTATTGAAGAAACCTGGAGTTTGGAAAATTTTAGTGAGGAAATATGCATTACTAGAACCCGAATGCAACATGTTAAGGTAAGTAAACCTTTTGAAAAATTCTAAAAGTAGTTTTGGTTGTGTTTATTTAGGATTTGGTGAATAATTTGTAAGCATTCAGTTTTAATAAGCATCCAGCTTTATCTTTGAATGTCTACTGAACTTGAACACATATCTACTGAATTATTGAACTATCAACTTGCAGTAGTATGTATGTTCTTAATATTATTTTTTTGATAATGTATAAAACACTTTGATAATGTATAAAACACTTTGTAATGTAACATGAGGATTTTATAGTCTCTTTCTAGAAGTGAAAAATTATGTTTATCAAAGATCTATAGATTGATTTGCATATTTGTGCCATTTAAGTGTCTTTGCATTATTTTAGAACTTTATAAACAAGTACTTAAAAATGTGAAAGACCCATGAAGGGTATTTATGTTTATATTTACTACATTGTAACCCAAATATTTATAAAAATCATAGCATTTAAATTCATCTCACATATATTTCTACATTTTAGGAGGCAAAATAAAACCGAACAATCTTAATCAAACAGTTTTAACTTCCAGAGATATGTAAATAAATTGTTAAGTAATTGATAAGATGCCAAAATTATTCTCAAGGCCATAACATATTTGCTACAATTACTATTAGTAGAACTTGTATTTTTTTAAATTTAAATATCTTTTTATAAGCATCTAAAATATTCGTTTCGCAAATTGAAACATCAAAATAAACTTATTTTAAAGTAAAATTATGGCTTAATTTCAATAAACATAGTAAATTGTATTAATATACCACAAGAAACATTAGTGATATAGCTTTATTCCTTCTTTGGAAAAACTGTTAAACTGAACAACCATATTTCCTTAATTAAAGTTTCACTTTTATAAATCTTTTATTTGTAATTTATTATTTTTCTTTGCCTTCAGGGCACTCTTGCTTTCACATATAATTTTTATGTTATAGATCTGAGTTAAATTTTATATTTTAATTGTAGCTTTTTGAGGATTATCTGTTTTTTTTAAATATATTTTTTTATACTTTAGTAAAAGTGCAAAATTGTATGTATTAAGTTCTCAGAAATATGATTGCATTAAAACAATAGCATTACAGCTTGTTATCACCTGCGTAAATGATTCACATGCAGTGAGTTTGTCAAAGAAACATTACCCTACATGTGATATACTTTAAGGTATCTAGTAAAATATTTTTAATAGCATCAATATTGAATGAAAATGTCTAAATGTATTATCATATTCTGTCTATAAAGATTTTGTACAATGTGGTTCTTATGATAAATAGAAAAGAGTGGTAAATAAATGTTGCCTTAAAGTAGAATTAGATTTATTGCTCATTCATTTTTTTTTTCAGTCAATCAAAATGTGTTTTGTTTTTGAGAGTTAGAGAGAGGGGGGGAGGGGAAGTGAGAGAGAGAGATGGAGAGAGAGAGAGAGAGAGAGAGAGGGAAGTTTATTGTTTTTAACATGAGTTTATATTTATAAAACTCAATATGATATAGTACAAAGAAGGCACAAGATACATTAAAATACTAAGTAATTATAACATTTCCATAATTAAAGAAAAATATACATGAATTAGCGCAACTGTCCTTAAAAAATTCCTCTATACAATATTAAGATAATAAAAACTTCTTGATTACTCTTCAGAATACAAAAATATTGCTTGAGGATCTTATATTGAGTGGTGGTGATTAAACACTTTCCTACTAGTGTAAATAAATGATTTTTTAATTAATGTAGAAGAGGGAATTGGAAGTGGAATAACATAATTTAGATGAGTTTAGTAAGGGGAATCTGTCTGAATATCCTCTTTATGTTTTTTAAAAACTAAGCACGCTAATTTAAGGATATACTTGCAAGGAAGTGTCAAGATACCATGTTTCCCGAACAGAGGTCTACATGATGTACCAAACTTGCCTTGCATAAATATCTGAGTGCTCTCTTTTGTAGCATAAAATTTCTACTGAAATGTTGAAGAGAACAGTTACCCCAAAAGGCAGTACTATATTCAAATTAGATTCAATCAGGGCCACATAAACACTTTTTGCAATCTTGAAGTCTAAAAGGTGAGTAACTGATTTGACAACAAAGGAACCCAATGATATATTTTTGCTTAAATATACAGTGTGTTGCTCAAATTTGAGTCTATTATCAATATAGAGACCTAAAAATTTGTTTAGGGTGTCAGAACAAATGCCTTCATTTCCCAGGGTAATGTTGTTTACTTATATCATTCTTAAAAGAAATTAATTTGGTTTTTGAAAAATTAAATGTCAAATGATTAGCTGTGCATCACTCTAAAATTTTTAGCATATCACTACTAATAATCTTGTTCAGAACAATAGAGTCCTTGTTTGCCATAAAATTGTGGTGTCATCTGCAAATATAGTAAACCGGCCATTAATGTAGAGGCTAGTTATATCAAGAAAAAGATAGGACCCAAGATAGAGCCTTGAGGTACTCCACAATTAATAAAGATATTACTAGAGTAGTGCTCATTGATTGATACAGACTGGCATCTGTCTTCCAAGTATGAACTGAACCAATTTAGAGCAGTGTCTCTAAAACCATATCTTTCCAGTTTATTAAAAAGTATTTTGTCATTGACACAGTCAAAGGCTTTAGATGGGAGAAAACTGCAGCAGCAACATAATTGTTATTTAAGTCCAAGTATAGTTTTTCCATGAATTTCGGAGATGGCATCATATATACTTTTTAATGACTGGAACCCGAATTGGAAGGAAGAAAGTAAATTGTGTTTTTGTAAGAAAGTCATAATTCGGATTTTTACCAATTTTTCTACAATCTTTGAAAGCTACAGTAACAAAGAGATAGGACGATAATTAGCAGGTAAATCGTGGTCACCACCTTTATACAGAAGAATAACCTTAGCACATTTTAAACAATCGCTAAAGTGACCCGTTGAAAAAGATGTGTTAATCGCTTCCGCTAAAATTCTCAGAACATTATGAGAAAGAAGGGATAAAACTTTAGGTGGGATATCATCCCAGCCTACAGCCATAGGATTTTTAATGACATATATTTTTTTTCAACCGAGTTAGTGGGAAGAAAGTAAAAGGAATTTGTAATGTTTACTCCATTTAAAAAATGCATTGGATCAGACAGCTCACTAAGGTCTAAGACTATATCAGTAGTTTGGGGAACTTTAGCTTTAAAATTATTAACTATACGCCAATATTCCTTTTGCTTATTATTGGCATTTTCCATTCTAGATTTAAAAGACATACATTTGGCTAATTTAGTAACCTTTCTATATATGGACCTATATTTATAGAAATATATCAAAAATTCATCATTGCATATTATATGTTTTTTAATGTAATTTAACGATCTTAAGTTTTTGCAGAAAATTCTAATTCATTTAGTAACCCAAGTTTTCTTACTTTTCGATTTAAGAACTCTTTTTTGAAATGCTAACTTGAAAATCTTCATGAGAGTGTGATGACATTGATGAAGCAAATCAGAAGAGCAAAAAATATTATTCCAATCTTCCTGATTACATAATTTGATAAACCTGTCAAAATTACTTTTACTGAAAATCCTACCTCATCTGGCCGTATAAGGTGGATTTTTAAGGGGAAATTCACATAAAATAGGATCATGATCTGATGAAAAATAGAGAATCACTCTGCACACGCTAGATCTGGATGTAAATTAGTACAAATATAATCCAATATGCTGTTATCTCTGGTTGGATTGGTAACAGCGTTCTCATATTAAAACTGTTAAGTAAATTTGTAATGGTAGTAACATAGGTATGTTGTGGATCCAGATAATAAAAGCATTTTGTGGAATTTTATTAAGCAAGGATTCCAATCTTTGAAAGGATAACTGAATAATAGACTTAGGGGGTCTGTACACCACAATAAGAAAAGTATTAAGCTTCTTACTGAAAGTAATAGAGAATTCAAATTCAGATTCACTGCAGAGGTGGTTAAATTTATTGTAGTCAACAAAATTGAATTCATACTGAAACATTGTATTAATTAAAATTAATGTGCCTCCATGGATGCTTTGAGATCTGCAAAATTTACATATTATGGAGTAATTGTTAATGCAAAGTGTTTCCAGGGGATATAACCAGTGCTCAGTTAATAGCACAAGGTCTGGCCAATCATTTTCGCTAAGAAATACTTCCAGTTCCTCAACTTTATTGCATACAGAACATATGTTGTATAAAATAATAGAAAATGTATTAACAATGTTAAATTTAGATATACTGGTATCCAGTTTATCTCCTACCATACTTTCAATAATATTTGTTATTTTTGTGCACTGTATTGTCAAAGATTCTATTTGATCCTGGTTGGGAGATATTAATTAACTATTTGGTCAATAGGACACTCTGATCAAAAGATATAGAATTTTTACTATTGAGTTGATACTAATTTTCAGTTCATTCTACACAAAAAGTGCTAATAAATATTTTCATTCAAAATTATCTCAGCTACTTTTTTTATTTGAAACATTTCTTTCTATGGCACACAGAATCTTGATAAATTAATTTTTATTGTTCCCCTTCCCCTTCATCTTGGGATAATGAAGAGGTATCACATAAAGTTTTTTACTAAAATCACAAAAAATTTAGCTTGTTGGTTGTTTGTTAAAGGTTCAGTGGCATATTTATTTAAAAGAACCCTTTCGGCTACATCACAGAACATTTTTAGAATGAGAATTCCAACGTTATTAGGTATACATGTGTAAAGCCACTAAATATCTGGGTAAAACCCTTTAAATGTTATTAAATTTGTTATATATTACATTGTTGCTAATCGTTTTATATGATATTCGTTTTAAATAGATTTACATGATGGCAATATAAAACTCAAACTGTAGTTGCTGGCCTTGAGACATCGTCTCTGTATGGACTTTAGGCTACCTAAGATCTGTATAGAGGCCAGTTACAGCTAATTTTTTATTCAGTAAAAGCATTTTTTCCAATTGTTAAAAATAAAAATGTTGACTTTCATTATTTGATAACATTTCATGTTTTTATTTATATATCCTATTTTCAGAACATTTTGGTTGGATGTAATATGGAAATCTTTGCTATAAAAAATATCACATTTTTTTATGACATTTTAATTGGGGAACTTGCAAGATGGACAATCAAAAAGGAAATTTTAAAAGTTTTTCTTCACTGTCTCTATCAAATAAAGGATGTAAGATGTCATACTCTTAACGAAAAACTCAGTAATCTGAATGAGTGCAATAATTTTTATATGTAAGTATAATATATTCTTTACAATATTCTAAAAGCTTTTCGGTACTTTTATGTCATCAAAAAAATAGACAAATGATTAATGAATTATTTCTTGGCTTTAAGTGCTTCCTATCTTTAAATTTATATTAAACAAAGTGTGTATGAGATCATTGACATTTTTTATTTGTTTGAAAGGTCTCTGAATGCCATTATGTATGCCAAATATCCTCATTGGATGCTTGTGGATTTCATCTAAATTGATATTGTCCAAAATTCAACAATTTTTTGAAATATGGCATATCAGTCAGAAAGTTAAATTGTTTCCTTATTTTCAACACACTCATTGTAAAACTTATTTAAGATAAAACAGGAAAACCCAAGGCAAATCCAAATTGGAACCTGCGATCAACATATCAAGAAACACAAGAAAAAGTAGAAGCTACAGTCTAGAATGTCCATTATTTTTCAAGAGATCACCTATTTTGCAAATTTCTTTTTCTCATCTATATGTGTCAAGTATAAAAGTTTACTACTACAAAATGCACGGTTCAGACATAGAGTGTTTTTGAGTTCCACATTTGTTGTGAGGCAATTTATTTAATGCACGCATTGTATTGTATCATTAATATAGACATTAATAATTGGCAGCTCCAAAATCCATCACTCTCTAGTGAAATCACAGAAGAAAGAAGAGAGAAGTCAGAAGAATAAAATAAAGGTTTAAAATTAATTTTCACTTAATTTCGGTTTTATTAATTTATAATTATAATTTAAAAAACACAATGAAGTAAAAACTTCTTTTGTAAATTGGTATTACATTTTTTTATTAAAATTTTAAAATTATCAAAAATTATTATTATTAGCCGATATATTTATGGAAGATTTTGAAACAAATATCATTTCTAAACAAAATTTAAAACCAACAGTATGATGTAGGTATGTAGATGATGTATTCTCAATATGGCCTCATGGATCAGAGTTGTTGGACATATTTCTAAATGATATAAACGATAAAGAAAAGACTATCATTTACCATTGAAAAGGAATATAATACCACGCTACCTTTCCTGGATGTTTTAATCTCTAAGAACAATACTGGATACGAGACTCAGGTGTATAGAAAACCAACATACACCAACAGATATTTAAATTTCAAATCAAATCACAATATTAATATTAAAAAGGGAATCATTAAATCCTTAAAAGATAGAGCCAAAATTACTTGTTCTAACGAAAATTCGTTCTTGAAGGAGAAACATTTGTTAACATCTGTTTTATTAAAAATGATTATCCTTTATCGTTTATAAATAAGGAATTTTCAACAATCGATTGAATAGAATAGAACAACTTAGAACGAGATCCTACAGCATACATAAGGTATAATACGAGGAAAATAACAATACCGTACATAAAAGAATTATCAGAAAAACTTAAAAGGACAGGAAATAAATTCAACATTTCAACAACAATCAAAACAACAAACACGTTGAGATCTATTTTGTCCAAAACCAAACCTAACAATGAACAAGAAAGGACAAAGAATTGAATTTATTAAATACCTTGTGAATGCGATCAGTTTTATTTAGGTGAAACATCAAGGCCATTAAATGTTAGAATAAGTGAACATCAATTTTATATTAAAAATAGAGAATTTGATAGATCTCAAATATGTAAACACGCATGGGATAATGAACATAGGGTTCAATGCAATAATTCAAATGTAGTCCTAAAAGAAACGGATGGTAAAAAAAGAAAAATTAAAGAAGCGGTTCTAATTATGCTAAATGAGACCAATTGTGTCACAAATTACTCGGCAGAATCTAGTAGAATCTGGTTACCCATATTAAAAGAGGAAGTTATTAATAAGAAAATACCAGTATTAGTAAGTCAGTAACATATAGAGGAAGCATCATTTATGTTTTTTAAATAACAAACATATAAAATCAGAATTTGGTGTTTATTGAAGGTAAACTAAATGCACGACCAAATACTTACCATGTCGGGATAGTATTATGAGGTTTTTTCCTGGGTTTTCCCTCACAATTTACTATGGAATCACTGACAGGAGAATTTTACTTTTATCATGGCATGTGTTTGTCTCTTTAAAGACGAATTACATGCTATGATTTTTTTCTAACGGATATTCTCAAGTTATTGTTGATTTCATGTAATCAAATAAACTTATAAGTAAAGTCGTCCCAGGAACGCAACTCAACAATATTCGCAATATCATTTTAAAGTCGTCTACTTTAAAATGCATAATGTATGTCTGAATTGTCAATTTAAATGAGTCAGATAATACTAAATTATTAGAAGGATTTTTCACTAAGTAACAAAAAAACAAAATTTGTTTAATTTACTAATGTTTGTATTTTGAGAACGATTTCCAAAGTGGAAATTGAAACGTCAATAAACGTACTTTAACCTTTAATTGTGGCTTATTCTCAGTTAAATAGTAATTAATCAAAAATGAATTTTTAAATTTTCAACATTTTTGAACCTATCAAATCATCATCGGTGAAAAACCTATAAATAAGTATAACCACTTGTGTACGAAACGTCAGAAAAAACAATTCCAGACCACGTGCTTTAAATCTCGATTACAATATACCTTTACGTTAAAGTTTGTTTGGTTCGCAGATGAATCAAATAGTTAGCATTTACTTAAAAAATGTATGCTTACATAATTGTTATTAAAATAATAAATAGTTAGACTGCATAATGTATTTACTTATCTTTTCTTGTTCTTCAAGTGCCCTGTCCGTTCCGAATGTTGGCTATTAACATGGCAATTCTGATCTTGTTTGCGGCGCTTCTGAATAGTTCGACCGATGTGAGCCCGAACCACTTCCGCAGATTTAGGAGCCACGAGTGTCTTCTCCTGTCTGGCCGTCGCTTACTGTCTATTTTCCCCTGGACAATCAATTGCAGTAGACGGTACTTATCGTGTCTCAATATGTGGCCTAGATATTCAAGTTTTCTTTGTTAATTGTGATCACGATTTCTTTCTCCTTTCCGATTTTTTGGATTACCTCTATTTTGGGTTACTTATCTTTTGAAATCAGTTAATTGGGCGATGATATGCTATCGACCTTACAAGTTTATATTTTTATTGTTTGTATCGTGAAAAGTCAGAAAACTTAAAATACCACATAAAGTCTGTAATGTGTTTTCCTTAACTAACCCAAAAATTATCTTTTATTTTTAGATACAAACTGGTCGATACATTGAGTATCTATGGAGATTATGATTTTCAGTCACTGATTCTCGAACTTATATTGAAAACGTGCACTGACCAAGAGTTGAGAAAAATATTAAATGCCCTTTTTCCAGAATCAGAGGAACTAAGAACAAAATTTTCCAAAATAAGCGCACAAAAATTTGACTCGACTGTTAGAGACTTCCTACAAGTATTGAACCGTAGAACCAAAACAATATTTTCTATATACTGTGAGAAGGTTATCATTGGTGATATTAAATGTGAGCAGCATATTGTAAGTATCAGTGGTATAATATCTTATAATACTTTTTGATATCACTCTATGACAAGTAATAAGTTTTACAATAAGAAGCTAATATGTATGAATCAGTTTCATCCTCCTCCACCTTTTTAGAAAACGTTTGGAAATTCAATGCACACCAATGCGTTATTTAATTTTGAAATTTAAAATGCTGAAGCGAGCGTCATAGAACTAACGCCACGTGAAGGCCTCACGAAATGGCGGTCTTCACATCGGTTCACTACTCTCCATCAATTCGTTTCTAGTCATCATATTAAATTCCTTTTAAACTATACTCAAATTTTGAGTTACCCGTTAATCGTATAAAGAATCCTCATTCCTCAAGAGCCATACGACTATGTTACGTATGCACAAAACCACAAGAATTAGAAGACACTAAGCACGCCCTATGGAAAAATGACTACAAGTTCAACATCATACAGAAAGCAGAACAATAGCGACAATAAAAATGTCCCGCAGAATTTAAAAGCCTTTTATTTTAAATCAGAGGGACTATCGACGTAATTAAAGCAGTCTTACGCAATTACGCATATCTTCATCATCAAAATAGAACAACAGCTCTATTTTGTGATCGCTTCGATGGATATGACCAAATAACTTAGATTTATAGACTAAACTGTACTAGAGAGACGTTGATTGAGTTAATTGGTTTCTAATTTCATCTAGAACCGATATATTCGTGCGGCGAGCTGCCCGTGGAATTTGAAGTAGTGGTCTATGTTTGGACTTCAAATTACACGCCAGCTAGTGCAAAATTGGCACATTGTAAATGTCAGAATTCATCGTTCCTTTCAAGTTGACAAACGTTTTTTTAATTTTGTCAAAGTTTTAATTAAATTATTCAAGTTTATTTCAACAAGAAGTTCATAACCAGCGCAAATATACAGTCCAACCTTTATGGTTTCTTCTAATCCCTTCAGTCTACATGTCCACATTTCAAAAGCGTCTATCTGATTCCTTGACCGTCCAAGTCTCACATGCATAATAAAATATGGAAAAGACCAGAATTGAAACGAGTTTCTTCTTGTTTGTCTTAGTAATGTGATGATCAGGTCAGACCACGTATAGCTAAGTCATTGCCGCTCTTGCAAGCCTTATTCGCTTTCAAATTTCGCATACAAAACCAAGGTATATTATAGACGAAACTACCTCGTATCCTGCGATAGTTTGAGTCTCAGTAAAATTTTGCACTCTATGGTAAACTTAGCACTTTCTACCTCGAATTTTTTTAGTAAGTTGATGATTTAAGCAGCTTGAATAACTCTAGACAGCTCTTGGTATTGGGAATGTCTATAGAAAAGAAGAAATCGATTCCAGAAAGTTTGACTTTTTGGCGTTATCCTACGCGTCAAAAGTATCTGCAGACATCCACACTGTTTTTAAGTCCATTTGAGTGGGCATCAGGCAAGTGACTCGCAATCAGTCAAGATCTGCATCAAAGTATTTTTAAACGATAATCAAATCCTCTGATTTGGCCTCAATCCATATCCTCTTAAAAGTGTTCAGTGTTTTTTTTTGTTAAATCCTCTTGGATCTAAAGTTACCTCGGTAGATCTTATGAAATTAGAAATTGTTTGCTACCAGTGGCGTAGCAACACTGTAAATTACTGATAAATTTCTTACATAATTCAGCTATTTAAGCTAGAAATATCCTAAACTTACTTCTTAAGCACAACTACAGTGCTATAGAAGACTATCGGCTTCAGACAATTGAAGAGAAATCAGCTTAGTGATAGGGTGAATATATTCTCCATCAGAAGTACGAACACGGACAATTCTAACTTTTCCATCTTTGCTACTAATTGATTTTATCATTCTTGCTAGGGGCCATCATTTTGGGCGATGTTGTAGGTTTTTTAAATAGTCAACAGACCAAATTTTCTCATTTAATCTCATTTAAATCTGATTTAAAAAGTGGGGCGAGTTACAAGACCATTTATGTAAAGGTTTAATAATTTGATTTAATTCTCCATAAAGTACGTCAAGCTCAGAAAATTTGTCGGTTCCATTTAAGATATTGTCCATATATGTTTGGGATAACAAAGCGTTAGTTGCTAGCTGAAATTGAGGGTTATTTGGTACAATATATTTAATGACGCGGGTGGCTAAAAATTGAGAACAATTTTGTCCAAAACTGAGACGAGACAATTCAATGCATTTAAAATTCTCAGAGGGTGAACCTCTTCACAATATATCTTGTAAATAGCGGTGTTGGACGACATTTCAATTTCTCAATACATCATCTTTGTATTTGCAGTCAAATCAGCAGATTAAATCCCGAGTCATGAATGCCCAAGGTAGGTAAAATATTTTCGAATCTTTAATTATATTAGCTTTGAAAATGTTTTGTATCTTTTATTTGCGATACCCCATTGTGTCGGACCCTAGCACACGATTTTAATTTTTACTTCAATGCTTCAAAACGAAATTGGTGATCACAACCGCACATAAACTACTAAAAACATGAAAGATGTGCAAAAGATATCTTTCCATCGAAAAATCAATGAGTTTATAGACCATTCTAAGACAAAATTGAACTTAGCTCTTACAAACAGATCGCAGCAGTGTCATGCTACAAAACAAGAGCGATAAAAGGATCCATAAAAATAGAAACGCAAGAAAACCTGAAGTGTAGAGATGACTCCCTAAACTTTCACCCAACTTGAAAATCGCTGGTAAAAAACATAACATTTAAATTCAAAAGCAAAACCTAACGGTAGACCCTGTACACCTGTATCACCTAATTATTCTCTCTGTATTCTGTTTTATAATATTTGCACCTATACGAACAATCTTTTATGTACAAATCAAAAGTTATACTACTTACAGCTATATTTTCTTTATCGGTGGTTACAGAAACAGCTTCAACTTGTAGTCATGCTATTTAATAAGTACACATGTCTATCTTCTTGTATATTTTTTCTTATATATTTAAGGTGTTGGGAATAACAGTGCAATAACTAACATTTTTTGGAAAACATAGTTTTAAAGTAGCTCTATTAAAATTGGTTTATAATTAATAACAAAATTGGCGCAGAAGTAGAAACTTACAATGATTGAAAATTTGTTCACAGAAGACAATAAATTGTAATATTTTAATACAATCTATTTTATTTAATATAATTTGATAAACATGGCCTGGATTCGGTTATTCCATAATTATTCTCAACTCATCTATTATACAATACATATAGCTTCCTTTATTGCTTTAGCTTGTTTAATTTCTTCTAGGATGAAAGTACTGGTGTTTGGATTCATATTAATCTTCTCGATTCAATAATTAGTTGGTATACAGATAAAAAATCATTAAATCCTGAAAAGGGTAAAAATAATGAGGAATTGCATGCTAGAAATTGGGACTTAATTATGGTTTTTAGAAGTAGCATAGAAAACATTGATATTCAGAGGTATAGTTTGGTTTTATTCATAAATAGAAATGATTTTGGTCTAGGTATTATTTAAAAATAAGCTTAAAAGTTATAGCGGGAGAAGATGATAAAATCTGCACTCGTCTGGATTGTCATTTGCCAGTGAACACTCAAAAGAACATATTTAGAAACCCAAATTTTCAGCTCCCTCGGTAACCACAGGGGCCCCTATTGCAAAAAATGTGTTTTAAGAAAAAAGTGATCCTTTTCTTTAAAAAATCTGAAAAAATTCATGAACATACATTTTAATAATTGATGGATTCGACCGTTACTTGATGGAAATTCATTTTATGTAACAATAAACGACTGAAAACTTTGTTTTCAAACTTCCACAAAATTTATTTTAAATCTTATCACTACAGCTGTTTCGGCTGATTTCCTTTCTCAAGTGATCTATTTTTGGCTTGGGTTTACTAATTTAGTCTCTAATGAAATAGGTTGAGGAGGGGAGAACTGTTTGTCTCAAGTTGGTCATTCAGAATTATATCTGTGTTTTTTAATTTGTTGATTTTCATAGATTCTAACAAAGATAGCTTAAGGCCTTTATTTTGAATGTGAAGAATTTTAAATTTGAAGAATAGAAGGTGAAGTGCGTATGTCGAATCTGTTTTTCTATTCTTGAAAGCCCTTTTATGTTCTGCTATTCGTTTATCAAAGTTTCTACCAGTTTGACCGATGTAAGTTTTTGGACAGTCGCCACATTGAAGTTTGTACACACCACTATTTAAGTGTTTTTTATTTTGGCTCTTGTTATTTTTAATATATTTGCCTAGGTTGTTATTTGTTCGGAAAGCTGGTGTTATTCCTTTCTTTTTTATGTATTTGGCAATTTTTGTTGTTATTTTGCCTGTATATGTAATTGAGCAGAAGGTACTGGGTTTTTTCTCTGGTGGTGGAAATACTAATTTCAGGGCTTTCTTGTGTAATTTTTGATTTAACATTTTATTAATTGTTTGTTCGTTGTATCCGTTGTTTACTGCTATTTGCTTAATTATATTTAATTCTGTCTCAAAGTTGTATTTTGACATCGGAATTTCCGTTAATCTATGTAACATACTATGGTAAGCTGCCAGTTTATGTTGTGTTGGATGGGATGATGAATTGTGTATAGTCGTGTCAGTATAAGTAGGTTTCTGAAATATGGAGAAGTCATGTTTGTTTTGAGGTCTGCTAATTTTTAAATCTAAAAAAATTATGTATTGATTTTGGTCTGTTACTATTGTAAATTCAATATGACTATGAAGTGAATTAATATACGATAAAAATTGGTCGAGTTGCCTGTTAGTTCCTGTGAAACATACCAGTACGTCCTCTATCGTATATTAATTCACTTCATAGTCATATTGAATTTACAATAGAAACAGACCAAAATCAATACATAAATTTTTTAGATTTAAAAATTAGCAGACCTCAAAACAAACATGACTTCTCCATATTTCATAAACCTACCCATACTGACACGACTATACACAATTCATCATCCCATCCAACACAACATAAACTGGCAGCTTACCATAGTATGTTACATAGATTAACAGAAATTCCGATGTCAAAATACAACTTTGAGACAGAATTAAATATAATTAAGCAAATAGCAGTAAACAACGGATACAACGAACAAACAATTAATAAAATGTTAAATCAAAAATTACACAAGAAAGCCCTGAAATTAGTATTACCACCACCAGAGAAAAAACCCAGTACCTTCTGCTCAATTACATATACAGGCAAAATAACAACAAAAATTGCCAAACACATAAAAAAGAAAGGAATAACACCAGCTTTCCGAACAAATAACAACCTAGGCAAATATATTAAAAATAACAAGAGCCAAAATAAAAAACACTTAAATAGTGGTGTGTACAAACTTCAATGTGGCGACTGCCCAAAAATTTACATCGGTCAAACTGGTAGAAACTTTGATAAACGAATAGCAGAACATGAAAGGGCTTTCAAGAATAGAAAAACAGATTCGACATACGCACTTCATCTTCTAGATCATAATCATTCTTTTAATGACAAATTTAAAATTCTTGACATTCAAAATAAAGGCCTTAAGCTATCTTCGTTAGAATCTATGGAAATCAACAAATTAAAAACACAGATATAATTCTGAATGACACAACTTGAGACAAACAGTTCTCCCCTCCTCAACCTATTTCATTAGAGAATATAAATTTGTAAACCTAAGCCAAAAATAGATCACTTGAGAAAGGAAATCAGCCGAAACAGCTGTAGTGATAAGATTTAAAATAAATTTTGTGGAAGTTTGAAAACAAAGTTTTCAGTGTTTTATTGTTACATACATTTTAATTACTATTAAACTTTTAATTTATTATTATTAATACATTTTAATGCCCAAAAATACTGACATTTTGTTTCATATTTTTTGGATCAAAATTATGCTCAGGAAAAATATTTGAAAATTTCCAAAAAAATTTAGGTTACGTAGATAATTTTTGGCAAACTTGTAAATAATTATATTTCGTATATTTTTTTCCGTTTTTTTTAAATGGCCGTCTTAGATTTGCAGTTTTCTCTCCGAAACATCCTTAAAATTCGAATAAACCCATGTTTATCGAAATTGAAAAGCTTTGAAATTATTTTCTAGTCAACATACATTTTTTTAAGCAAGTTTAAATTAAAAACTGCATTAGAATTTATATCGTTATGGCAGTTTTATTATATAAACTAGAGATCGAGGCTAAACTTTTGAAGGGTATATGAACTTCCTAGGTCTTTCCATTCCAAAACTACAAGCAATTGTCTTTCAAAAATTTATCAAGTCACCCGAATTTGCGGTATTTTTAAAGAAAAAATGGGGTTTATGAATGTTCCCAATTTTCCTTGATACTGTGGCTAATTTATCACCGGGATCGAATTCAGCGAAAAATTTTACATCAAAAATGTATTTTTGGATATTTTTTGATCATATAGAACCTGCTTTGCAAGAAAAAGTGATAAAATACGGAAAAACAATTTTTTACTGAGAAAATATTGAATTAATCATATAGACCGCTGTTTTGGATCTACAAGGCTGAAATTTGGTTAATCATCATATTTTGTAATATAGGATACACCTGTAAAATTTAAATCAAATCGAGGGCGGTCGCCTGACCAACTTTGTATAGTGAACGTGGAATTACCCTCCTAGTGAACGTGGAATTACCCTATCACAAAATCTCTTTGTTCGCTCACCGTTTTAAGTACTTATATAATGTTATTATGTGTTGTAGCTACACTGAATGTATCATCATAAACTTTGATCTGAAATCACCGGTAATGAGCTCCCAAACCATATTTGATAAAGCTCTCTCGGTTCATTTGAAGTTAAACCATTCCGAAGAATCCAAATTTCTGGTTTGTAATGTACTCAATCGCTGGATGCGTAAGCCTGACAAAATAGGAAAGAGAAAAGTATTTAAGATATTCTCATTTTTACTGAATTATAAACTTATTTTTATTTTAGAGAAAAGCCTCTTGGGTGGATAGAAAGGTGTATAATGTTGGAAAACCTATTTGGGTGAGTATGAACATCCACGAACGCTACGAGAGCAAGAAAATAAACAAACTGTAAATTGAAAGGAAAAGGTTTAATTTTTTTTTTATTTGAAACTGTTTCAAGCACAAGGGTTATTAGCAATGGTGGATTTTACAGATACCATAAATATAAAAAAAAATTAAGAATACAATTAGGTTTTGTTAAATAGTACTGAGGAAACCAAAAAAAGTATGATACACCTATAATGTCTTCTATTGTTGTAGGTAACTGTTCATATTGTCTTTCGAATACGCATAAAGGACACTTCACTAATAAGTGATGTACTGTTAGATCACTATCACACGCGTATCACAGGTTTGGATCACTTCTGTAGTAGGAAATCATGTGTGATCTTGGTGTGTCCTAATCGTAGTCTGGACATGAAGTTTTTAAGATTGTGACACGAATTTCCTTTAAAATGTGTTTCTTGCAAACATAGGATAGATGTATGAAATTTATTTATAAGAATCTTAAGATCTTCCAAGTGGGTATGGTACCCATTTAGGTTCAATTGAATAATAGAATTAAAAATAGTTTAATTAGTAAGTCTTCGCAGAGGAATCGCTAGAATCATCGGTAGAAGTATTACTTAAAATTTGTTCCGTAATTTTGTTTTTAATTCTAGAATAACAGGATTTAAGATATCTTAAATCCCGGACTTAACATAGGATGTATTTTCTTTAGAAAGTCTATCAATCCTTCGAGTAAGTTCAGGCGACACTGAGAGGATCTGAAGAACCATGCGCATTTTCAAAGAAGTCAATCAAGAAGTTCTTCCTGTGTTAAGTATCCATTGTTGGAGTTTTATTTGACTGTTGTTTTCTTGTTGACTTTTTGGTTTTTTGCTTCGTGGCTTCGATTCAGCGAAGGCATTTTCGTTATCTCTTATTCATCATCAATTAGCCTATATCTGTCCACTGCTGAACGTAGGCCTCCCGTAAAATTTTCTATCTATTTCTATTTTGAGCTTCTTGCATCCAGTTTGTGGTGATGCGCTTGATATCATCCGTCCATCTAGTCGGATGATGTCGTTGGTCGTCCTCTGCTTCGATATGCCTCTTGCCTTGGTCGCTATTCTAGAATCTTTCTGGTCCATTTATCATCCGCTAATCTGGCAACATGTCCGGCCCAAGCCCATTTAGCCATGGCTATTTTGTCAACTGCAACTGTGACTCCTGTTATCTCTTATTGGGGGGATATTATTTCAGATAGGTTTCGTTTAGGGTGCTGGGATGAGGATGTATATTGATCAAAGGTATTCATTTGAATCTCATTGGGTAGGTCGCAGCTTATCGGAGTATGCTGATTTGATTGACAGGTAATGATTTTTCTAGACGTTTCAGCCTCAGTAAGAGAGGATTTTGTAGAGAAATTTATCGACAAAGGAGCTGATTGTTTTACTGTAGTTTCAGTCTCAGTAGGAGAGGATTGTGTAGAAGAAACTGTTGAAAGGGAAGCTGATTGGTGTACTTTCTGTAAAGAGTTTAGATGAACATTATTTTGGGTATTGTTTGAACAATTATAACTGATTATTTTTATTGGAACACTGAGATGCAAAATGCCCTTGCTGCTTTAATTAACATAGAATCAGGTAATTTATCTGTTAGTTGGCGCAATAGAAGTGTATCGTCGGAAACTCCAGATATGCTTGACTACTGGATTTGAAGTCCCTATCTTGAGAAAGTCAATTGGAGTTATTAAAATGCTGTGTGGAATACTTGGACATACGTTGGAAATAATCAATCGTTCATTTGGAGTTACTAGTCTTCGGGCTAGAATACTTTCTTGATTAATTACTACAATTCCATTGTCGTTTGCTAAAACTCATCGACTCTCTGTTCACTGGTAAAGAAGATACAAATACGATCATTTATAATTTTAGAAATAGAATGTATTTTTCTGGGATTCACTTTAGAAGTTACTGCATTAAGGTAAACTTCGATATTAGAGTTTGGCAGTGAGTGAAGTAGAATTGCTTGTTTTTTGTTTGAAAATTTATTTATAGATTGATCAAGAGCTGTAGAATATAATTTTGATGGTTGGTTTACAAGTAGATTGCCAGAACTTTCCAGAGTAGAAGTTCCTGCTGCTGAATCCATTTCCATGCTTGGGCTAAATAACCTGAATACGGCCCTGGTGATTATAATGGATCATTGCCGGAAGGACTAATAAATCTCAATAATTAATCTCACGCCAAATCGTCAAAATAGTTTACCCTTGATTTGTTACAGATGAAATATGAAAATCAAACTTATAGTTTTCAGTCCAGAAGAAGTAACACTTTTAAACTGCACCTTTGTTTAAATTTTAGATATAAACAAAATTTTACATTTGAATAAAAAAATTCCTTATTTTGTCCGAACTAACAAGCTAATATTAAATATCAACTATCGCTAAGCTAATATATTTACAAAAATAAGAGGTAGCTATAAGCTTCACTCTTTAAAATTAGTTATAAATATACAGGGTCTTCCATAATTCTGTATCGCATCAATATGTTTTTTTAATGAAACACGTTCCATGAATTCAAAGATACTTTGTGTTATATAGCGTATTTAAAAAGTTATAACCCAATTTCAATGAAAATCGTAACAAGTTCAACACCTTGTATAATTAAAAATGGATATAAAAGCAACAACCTGTTGTACCCATAGTTTTTAAATGACTGTCAAGACGGTTTTAAAATAATGATCTGTAAGCATTTGTGTCGTAATAATATGAAATGTGTTTTTAATTCTTACGGTTATGTTTATTAATTGTTGGAGGTTCACGGTGCACTATATTTTTAATATGAACGGTATTTTGCAATAACCGTCTAACCCATATTTGTTTACAAATGAGGTTAGACGTGTCAAACTGTTGATCATAATGCATACTACATCAAGCAAAAATGATATAAGCCATATTAAAACTCATGGAGGCGTTTGTGAACGAAGTTCTAAACCACATTCGTCAAATAATATGAAAACAGAAATTTGTAAAAATAGCCTAACCCATGTTTTCATTATAAATATGTGGGTTAGACGCTTGTTGCAAATCTTTGTAAGGGTCTTTTCATTGTGTGCACCAGATGCAAGATATTAAATTGAACAAATCTTTATTTTGACTTATTAAAAGACAAGCAATTTATTATTACGCTAATATCACAATTTTATTTAAAGAAATAAAATTGCACCAAACTAGAGGCTTTATCTTTAACGGTAAAATACGAAAGTATATTATTTAAAACTGTGAATTTTCTGTGTTGTCAGCTCGGCAATTGATTAAAGAAATTTTTAAATTCCTTTTATCACATATAGTGTACCGAAAAGGTAACATAATATGTTATGCGATTACTCGAGTGTTGGTGCCATAAATGCCGACAAAAAATTGCAGTGATCAAATAACGAAACCAGTTGTTCATTATATAAAATATTGGAACTGTTGTTTGATAGTCAAAATTCTGGTCAGCAAAATATTGTAGGAATATGATAGGAATATTATAGGTATGATTTGGAAGGAATTGGGATAAATCCTGATTTCGAGATTGATCAAGATTAAATGGAGTAGGAATTTACCATTTCGGAGGAATAGACGGTTATTGCAAAATGACCATTTATATTTTTACAATTTTGCAAAACCCGTGTAAGCCGTTTAAGTTATAGCCTGTAATTATTGAAATATAAAAATGTGAAAATAAAGCCTTATTTTCTACCAGTAAATTTCTTATAGTAGGTAGACACAATATGCTCATTTACTCTGAACCATGTATATGTAGCTTAGACTATTATTGCAGAATACCATCCATATAGCCCCAGAAGAGGTTGACTCTACTTAATTCCGGTAATCTAACTGTCCAATGAATTGGTCCTTCTCTTCCTATCCGTCTGTTAGAAAATTTGTATTCAAATAGGTGTTAGACAGGGTTGTGTGTTGTCCCCAACTTTGTTTAACGTTTACTCAGAAATAATTTTTAACAAAGCCTTGGAAGGGCAATGTGGAGTTCGAATGGGGGGAGAAACTATTAATAACATCAGATATGCAGATGACACCGCAACTATGGCTGAAAGTCTCGAAAATCTTCAATTCCTTATAGATCAAGTCACTAGAGAATGCGTTAATAACGGACTAATCCTAAATACAACAAAGACAAAGTTACTTGTGGTTAGTAAACAAGACCTCGGCGCTATACAACTAATTGTCAATAATGAACCGATAACAAAAGTTAACCATTTTAAATAATAAACGAGACACTTAATCCGGATGAAGAAATTAAAACTCGTATAGAAATTGCAAGAGGAACATTTATGAAACTTAGATCTATTCTCAGCTGAACTTACGGCTGAGAATTAAATTCCTAAAATGTTATGTTGATCCCGTATTACTGTATGGATGTGAAACCTGGATTATGAAGGTTAACATGATGAACAAATTAGAAGCCTTCGAGACATTTTTATATCGTAGAATGCTCAGAATATCATGGGTTCAACACATTTCACACAGAAAAGTCTTGAACAGAGTAGGTCAAGACGAAGGTAACTTAATAAAGATGATAAAAAAGAGAAAACTCGAATATCTGGGGCATATAATAAGAGAAAGCAGATTCAGGATAATGCAGTTGATACTCAACGGAAAGACCGACGGAAGAAGCGGAATTGGTAGAAAGAAATACTCATGGCTCCGATACCTTCGTCAATGGACTGGCTTATCAGCAAATGAATTATTACATGCCGCACAAGATTGAGAACGATATCGGCAAATCGTCATGGAAGCTACCCACGCCTAAAACTTGGGTACCTTTGATACTCAAGTACCGTGCCCAAGTACTTTTCTCGGGTCACTGGTGCATCTCTTCAATGTACTTGAATTGAAGATGCACGTGAAGAAACATGACTTTACAAAAGATATACATTCACTAAAAAGTTTTGTTTAAAACTTTTTGGCGATTTTTTTGTGTTTATTGCTTAATTTCACGTATTTATTTCTGTCTGGGACCAGTGCAAATGCTAGTACTGTGTATTTACTCATTCAATTGTTTCAGGAATATAAGAGCACAGATTGCTCTGATTTCTCCAACACTTCCAAATCATCCAGTTGCAAAATCTGCAAAGATGTAACGTCCATATCGGAATCTGAAGATGTACAAATCGGGACCTGTTTTCCCAGAGTCCAAGAATCTCTATCAAATATACTGAAAGCTAAAGATATCAACATTACTCATCAACTAGGCAAAAGCAAAAATCCTTCTGTGATATATATTAAACCCGATAAAGATTATCGTATGTTTGCGGATATTGAAGACCAAATTGATAACACCAGCATTTGCTTTACCTCCGAAGAACAACTTCAACGTATAGCCAGCGAGTTTGAACGTTATATAGAGTTCAGTAATAAATTTTTCCCGAATAAAGGTCATATTAGTCTTACTGGCAGCTCGGTTTCTTCTAGTGCCACTAAAAAGTTTGTATCAAAACATTTTAGGAATCGTACCACCCGATATAAGCCAATTAGGGCCAGAGATTCAAATTTTAACAACAAAACTAAAAATGCCAGTAACTACATACATCAGAACTTAGTAGAAAGTAGTTCTGAGAGTGTAAATCGGTCATATAAAGGTTTTAACAATAACGATTTAGGTTCAAAAAATGAGTTATCAAACAAGACGGTTAATGCAACTACCGAAAAAAGTTTTTGTGATAATTTCTCTTCTAGTGATATGTCACATAGTAAGAATGAACTGAAAATATTACCAGAAAAGGCAATGTCTTACAGGAAAAGACGTCTATCTGAATCTGAAAAATCAACTGGTACATTCGTTGAAATTTTAGAGAAACCTTCCACTTCTGATAATTTAAGAAATAAAACATCGACTGTGGAAAGAACCCATAACAACAAAAATTCATTCACTGGTAGCAACTCGAGTGAGGAACCACGTCTTACATGTAAACGTGCTACTGGCAAAAAACAAAACACATCAAAGGTAAGTAAATAGTTTTAAAATATGTTTATTTTCATACATGTTATTTACCTCTTTTTTTGCTTCCCTTGGAATGGGTAGAAAATCACCGAGGTTGGGATTTTTGCAATATTTTATATCGACTTCTCCTTACTATTATGTCCCAGATAAGACATTTTTCGATGTTTAACAGTCTAGCAGTTCTCTATCTTTGTTGACGCTCCTTTTTGCCTTAGTTCTAAACTGAGATGGTTATTGCAAAGAAATGACTTCATTTTCATAAAAGTAGTTTTAGTCATTGCTATTCTACGTTTTATTTATATGTCTGGATCTAGTTGGTCCGTTATCACAGTTCCCAAATATGCCATCTTGTGAATTTTCTCAACTTGGACTCCGTTTAATTGAAGCTTTGCGTATGTGGGTCACCACTAAACACTAAAAATTTGGTTTTGTTCGAGTTTATTTTAATGCCCATTTCCTCTCCTACCTCGTGAATACGATCAAGCAGAATTCGAAGACCTTCAATATTATCTGATAGAATTACTGTATCGTCTACATATCTAATCACATTAAGTAGTTCCCCTTTGACTTTTATTCCATATGGTTGTCTCTCAAGTGCCTTTTTAAATATCCTTGTCATCTATTCCGATATTTTTCAGTATTTGCATTAATTTTACATGCTGTACTTTATCGAATGCCTTTTGGAAGTCCACGAAACATGCAAATACATCTTTTCTTTTGTCACGGTATTTTTGTAATAAGATGTTAAGCGCAAAAAGTGCCTCCCTGGTTCCCATAGCATTTCTAAAACCAAATTGGGTATGTTCAAGATCTTCTTCACATTTGCGTCTAATTCTGTTGTGAAGTATTCTGAGAAAAATTTTAAGAGTGTGGCTCATTATACTAATTAATCGATATTTTGAGCATTTTCTCGCATTGTGTTTTTTAGGTATTGCGACAAAGATGGATTTGAGCCAATCTGCGAGAATCACTCCGATGTTATATATTGAATTAAAAAGTCTTACTACTACTTTTATGTTATCATTCTCTATTAGTTTCAGCAACTCAGTTGGTGTATCATCTGGACCACAAGCTTTTCTAATTTTAGCACTATTTATAGCGTGTTCTACCTCGCATTTCATAATTTCTGCGCAGTCAGTACAGTTTCGGTAGAATTCGACAATATCATTCCTGTCATCTTCAAACAACTCTGATATATACAGCTGCCATTATTTTCTTATTTCGTGCTCATTTACAATAATTTTGTTATTATTGTCAACGAGTACAGAGGGAACTCGTTTTTGAAGTATGTTACTCATTTCTTTTAGTTTTTTATGCACATTAAATAAGTCGTGTTTAGATATTACATTCTCCATTTCGTCGCACCTTTCTGTCATCCATTTTTCTTTGGCTAATTTGATCTCCTTTTTTATTCTTCTCTGCAGGTGTCTGTATTGTGTTACATTAGACTTTATCAGTCGACGTTGTTCCATTAATTTCAAGATGTCGTCTGTCATCCATTTATTTTTAGACACTACTCCATTGATCACTAATACTCTAGTACTTACTTAATTATTCTAATACTCTAGTAACACTTCGTTTTCAATATGTGTAGCTATATTAAATGGCTATTAAAATTATTTGAAAATATTTGTGTAGCATAATTTTTCAAAAAATTATACCGCTAATTTTTTGAAGTACTATAGTTTAAATTTATTTTTTTATTAATCAAATTGCAGATCACAGATGTGAATATTAGCATTCATGTTGTGAAAAGAATTAAATCTAACCACTCATTAAAATTTTTGTAAAATTATTTTATTTTCTTTTTTAATTTTTAATCACACCTTTTGTCTAATCTCAATTGAAACCAAAAATATATTTTTTAGATTGTTATACTCTCAGATAATACTGTCGTAAGAGGGAATGAAGAAGTGATAAGTATCGGTTCTAGCAGTTCAGATCTGGAATCAAATAAACATAATTCGAATGCACAAAAAATAAAAGTTTTCAATCCCTCGAAGCCCAGATCTCCGTCAAATTGGGACGATTATGAGATAGAAGAAGTGATAAAGAAGGAAGATGAACTAAACGCGGTCAAAACAGATTTTTCAGAAAGTAAGTCTTTATGTTTAAAAAATGACGCACTTCTTTACTGAGAAGAATATCATATCTGTTCCGAATATGGTCTACCATAAACTAGATCTGTTGTTGTATCCTATCGTAAACATATATATCACTTTTCATGATTTTTTTTAGTTTTAAAGGTGTAGGGTCTCACCTCAGTCTTATAAATGAATACGTCTTTGATATTTTAACCTAACTTCGATAAAAACCTGTAAACAATTGTTTGATTTCTCTAAAGCACATCTTAACAAAAAATAAAGTCATCTAAAACACGTAAAAGTCTTTTTTATTAATATTTGTCAGGAATGTAATAAAACTCAGGTCATTTAAAATTAAATATTGTTTGTCTGTGTGTCCTCTCTTTGTTTAAAGATGTTTAAAAATTCTTAAGCACATGAAGACCACAGTGGCGATGAAGGCGAATAGAAAAATTCTGCGGAAATTTTAGACGTATTTTAGAAGCATAGATACCGAGTGATTGTCGGTATAAGTAGTTTCCTCTTACTAGCCAACAGCTTCGGGAGATTAAAATGGGCCTTGATGATCGTCAGTATCCTTAAAGGATGAAGCATATGAAGAAGAAGAAAGTATATGAAAATAGAGCAAAATATGTTAACATAAAAAACTAACAAAATTAGATTTGAGAATGCCAGTCAGACCATTGGCTGGAATACGTCAGATTATGGAAAAAGAAAGAAAGGTATTTCTAGCTATTTCTTCTTTTATGAAAAGTAAGAAAACAATGAAATCCCCTGCTAGCCGAAGAGAAAAGAAGAATCTGAGAGTGATGATGTAGGTTGTAACGTTTAAAACGTTACATTTTTGTTTTTATTAATTTCAAAGTACTTTCCACTATTTTCTGCTCATACTATTTGATTTTCATTGATAATAAGTTCTTTTTCCTTTGTTTGTATTCCTATATTTTATTTCAATATTTTCCTATTACAAATAAATCCGCTGATTAATTTCTTAAGTCCCCTCGTAGTCCTACCTTCGCTTACTTTATCGTACAAGAAACAGAAACCCCACTCCTAAATAATTTACTTCTATCAATCCGATCTGATTTAATTTCTTTTTAAAATAAACCAGCAAACGAGAAGGTATTATTAAAAAAATAAGTCCTCGTGGTCAGAAACTTTCAACGGTCTGGCCACCTTGGTTTTTATTCAAGAAAATACACCTTGATTTTTATTCAAGAAAATCCACCTTGATTATGATATAAGAAAATTTACATTGACATGGATTTTTTGGGTCGAAGAATACGAAAATGGAATTGTTTTTTTTTTGGAATAAGAAATCCATCTCGATTTTGAAAATTTGCATGGCTTTGGATTGGAGCCGTTACACATAATTGTGTAACGGCTAGCTCACCCATTGCACATTGAAACCCCTCAGGGGTGATTTTCGGCATAAACTAACTTAATTTGAGAAATCGGGTATTATTAATAAAATAATTTCTTTAACACATATCTTTATTTATTTATATTTATATACTGTATGAGAAATCCTCCTGCTGTTTTCTTCTCAACTCGGACCATACAATGTCTGCAAAAACCATGCCGCTAAGCCGAAACCATGTGGATCCCTCTCCAATTTTCTTGAATAAAAATCAAGGTGGATTTTCTTGAATAAAAACCAAGGTGGCCAGACCGTTGAAAGTTTCTGACCACGAGGACTTATTTTTTTAATAATACCTTCACGTTTGCTGGTTTATTTTAAAAAGAAATTAAATCAGATCGGATTGATAGAAGTAAATTATTTAGGAGTGGGGTTTCTGTTTCTTGTACGATAAAGTAAGCGAAGGTAGGACTACGAGGGGACTTAAGAAATTAATCAGCGGATTTATTTGTAATAGGAAAATATTGAAATAAAATATAGGAATACAAACAAAGGAAAAAGAACTTATTATCAATGAAAATCAAATAGTATGAGCAGAAAATAGTGGAAAGTACTTTGAAATTAATAAGAATAAAAATGTAACGTTTTAAACGTTACAAGGTAATGAATACTTACTAAGATACATGTACAACAAGCTAAGAGAAATAACAAAAGAAAATGGAGAATATAAAGAAGAGCTACTAGAATTAAGTCATGGGCTGAAATGCTGGAAATAAAAGAGGAATTAGAAAATACAAAACAACGTCTAAAAGAGGTGGAAAATAGATTGGAAAGGCTCGAAAAGAACCAATATTTTAGTAACTAGATTAGATATTGATACAAATGAAGAGAAAATAAAAGAAGATATGGCAATTTTAATAAGAATACACATAAATGGGGAAGTAAATGTAGAAGAGTGATAAAACTAGGGCAGAAACTTGTTTGCTACAAATACGAGAACACGTGGAAAAATTGAACTATGCAAAAAGAAGAGTCGGCTGAAAAAGTTAAAAAGAGAAAAGGTATTCATAAATGATTATCTAACATACAAAGAAGGAGAAGTGAGACAAGACGTAACTGAAAAATGTAAACAAGACGGTAAAAGTAGGTTTTAAAAAGATCATAGTAGACAGGGAGGAATCGAAATGGAAAAAGAAAAACATTTTTAAAATTATTGTGATGCAAAAAGAGAAAGAAGGGAAGTTGGAATAATGGAGCCAATTTGTGGCAAAAATAAGGAATATGATACGAGATCTGGCTATTAAATAACGAAACTGCGCGCGTAGAAGGCTTCCTGGAGGGGAAGAGTGGAAAACGAATGCAGCATTGGATAGCCGGAAGTGTCTACTCTTCCGGTACGAAAACACGTTTTTGTCGCTGTAGTAGTATTTTTTCTGTAGAGGTTAGAAAAGAACGTGTTTTTTCAAGTGCCGATAACAATGTGTGACGAAAAACATGAGCAACGGATTAATGTGAAGTTTCTCGTTAAATTAAAAAAAACTCCGTCTGAGTGCTATAAGTTGTTAAAAGAGGCCTATGGCGAGAATTCTCTATCCCGTGCGCGTGTTTTCGAATGGTATAAACGGTTTTCTGAAGGTCGAGGGAGCGCCGAAGATGAATAACGTCCAGGTGGACCTGTCTCTGTTTAAACTCCGCAAACAGTGACCAAAATAAATGAAATTGTACGCGGAGATCGTCATATAAGCATTCGGATGATTGCTGAGATTGTAAACGCCGATAAAGAAACTCAGAAAAATGTTACATGACGCATTAGACATTAAGAAAGTCTGCGAAGTTGGTCCCAAAAAATTTGACCCCTGACCAAAAGCTCGTCCTTCAACAGATCAGATCAGATTTTTTTGAGAGGTTACATGAAGAGTCTGAATTAATGGAACAAATCATCACTTGCGATGAAACCTGGATATTCAAATGCGGTGTTTAAACTAAGCGACAATCCATGCACATAAAAACTCCTGCATCGCCAAGAATGAAAAAAGCAAGGATGTCGAAATCAAAATTTAAAGCCATGTTTTTTTCGACATTAACGGCATCGTGATGACTGAATGGATTCCAGGGGGTCAAACTGTAAACCAAACTTACTATTTAAAAGTTTCGGCAACGCTGCGAGAGCGAGTTTATAAGAAACGGTCGGAGTTGGCGAAAAACAAGCCGTGGATCTTGCACCAGGACCCTACCGCATCTATCCATAACGCGCTGTCTTTGAAGCGTTATTAAGCAGCTAGAGGCATTGCTGTGCTCGAACACCTGCCATACACGCCTGATTTAGCACCCTGTGACTTTTTTCTTTGTCCAAAGATCAAGTCTGAATTAAAAGGAATCCAGTTCGAGTCAATGGCTCCTAAAAGCTCTAACAAAAGAAGACTTCCAGCATTGCTGTGACCAATGGAACGGTGTGTGACGAGGAAAGAGGAATATATTGAAGGAGAGCATTCGATTATAGAATAATTTTGAAAATAAAACTCTTTTTCATAAGAAGTCTCGTTATTTAATAGCCAGACCTCGTATGGCAAAACTGGGACCCCCCCCCCCCTATATGACAACGGACATGAATCAATTGAATCAAAGAATAAAACACATAGATACATCAAGTAAGAAAAAACTGACCGTATCGTTTGAAAAATTGGAACGTGGAACATAAAGAGCATAAATGGTAAAGAAATAGAACTAGTAGAGGAGTTTGAATATCAGAGACCAAGAAAAAAGGATAAGGAGTAGTAAAAATGGAAAATAATCATACCTTAACATATAGTGGAGTAGCACCAGACAAAAAAACAGCGGCAGGTGTAGGTTTTATAATATAAAAAAATGAAAAACAGAGATACTTCTTGGACGCATGGTCAGAGAGAATATTACTAATACAATTGTACGTTATCATCTTCAAACGAAGATGATAACGCACAAAGCAATGAATTTTGGCGAGAGTTAACGTTGGCACCAGAAGCCGCAAGAGCTTTTTTAATAATAATAATAAAAATCTTTTCTTACACAATACTTAACGAAGACCACGTTGCTCAATTTGGAAATGAAGAGCGGAAGCGTCATTGGGGTGAATAAGGATATAGATGATACAGATTAGCGGATGCAAATTATAGACAGATAGATAATAATTAGATAACAAAATATAATGGTTTAACAAAGAAAAACAAGAAACACCAAAGCCAAACTGTAAAACAAAATGGACGTCAATGAGTTTCAACTTCAAACTTATGAAGGATCTCTAGATTAAATAAATTAAACAAACATTGCTCTCACAAACAGCAAAAAGAAATACATCAGAAAGCATATCAAAGAATTATCAACAAAAAACTATAAAAATTGACATATTTATTGATATGCTGCAAAAAAGTTTACATATTCAATAAAATAATTCAATATATATTTTTATCGTCTCTACGAAAATAAAATAATAAACTTCGAAAAATTGTTTATTACTACTCAAAAATAAATTTATTAACAAATACATATTAATAAAAAAAGATGATGACACATATTGCCATCAATAATCTTATAATTAAAACAGATTACAGCTCTTGAGCGTGGCATGGAGCGAATGATAGTTGAAGATAACGTAGCGGGTAAAAGATCCAGAGGAA